CTTCATCATCCTCATCCTCTTCTTCTTCTTCTTCATCATCCTCATCCTCTTCTTCTTCTTCATCATCCTCCTCTTCTTCTTCATCATCCTCATCCTCTTCTTCATCATCCTCATCCTCTTCTTCTTCTTCATCCTCATCCTCTTCCTCATCCTCATCTTCCTCCTCATCCTCATCTTCTTCCTCATCCTCTTCTTCTTCTTCCTCATCCTCATCTTCTTCCTCATCCTCATCTTCTTCCTCATCCTCATCTTCTTCCTCATCCTCATCTTCTTCCTCATCCTCATCTTCTTCCTCATCCTCATCTTCTTCCTCATCCTCATCTTCTTCCTCATCCTCATCTTCTTCCTCATCCTCATCTTCTTCCTCATCCTCATCTTCTTCCTCATCCTCATCTTCTTCCTCATCCTCATCTTCTTCCTCTTCTCATCCTCTTCCTCATCCTCTTCTTCTTCCTCATCCTCTTCTTCTTCCTCATCCTCTTCTTCTTCCTCATCCTCTTCTTCTTCCTCATCCTCTTCTTCTTCCTCATCCTCTTCTTCTTCCTCATCCTCTTCTTCTTCCTCATCCTCTTCTCTTCTTTTTCTTCTTTTTGTCTTCCTCTTGCAGGTCACTGCTCATGCGCAGATTTTTTATCGGTACAAAAATCGGCCGATTTGCCCACTAATTGCCGCGAAAATCGGCGGATTGGCAAATTCGGCCGATTTTTTTCCAACTTTACCGAAAAAAAAAAAATGGCCAAAATACCGAAACGGCCGACCAAATTGCCCACTAACGATCCGATAATCAGCCGATTTTATTTTCGGCCGAAAAATCGGCCGATTTTCGACCCGTCTATGGCCTGCATTAGTCCTGGAAACAATGGTGCACATTTTGCTATTTTTTTATCCTACCTAAAACACACTGGCACTAACAGACACTGATACTGCTTTAAAAAAAATTCTGCCCAAAATGTACTAATCGTGACTTTTGTCCTTGACCCTAACATTAACCCTGGAACTGACCTAGATCTAACATTGATCTAGATATTTTTTCTTTGTTTTTCCTTTTTTTTTTTTCTACACATTTTTGTTTGCATTCTCCCGCATGAGGGAAAGAAACGTTGCTTCTCTCCCCCATTCAGAGAGATAAGAAAACACGGGTGGGCTGCACAGTGACTGATCACAGCAATCAGGTGACATGGAACCGGGAGTCATGGGTCCCAATTGTTAGTACAGGGTCTGGGCATCCTGGTGACTGCATACTGTTGGCATCGAGGGCTTAAAAATTAATGAAAGGAACTGATCATCCGGGGTTTTAGTAAAAATGGGAAAAGGAGCTTGAATGTACAGCAATAGAATAAAGTTTTCAAATTAACACACGAGGTGACAAATATGAGCACAGTGGAGATTAATTCTAAATGTTTAACTAGATGGTATATTACACCAAACATAGTTCACAGACAACAAGTAGACACTTCACTTCTGTTCTGGAGAGGATGTGGAGAAAGGGGTACAATGGCACACATATAGTGGGGGTTGCCCAAAAATACAGGATTACTGGAGGGAAATAATCCAATATATTCAGGAGATATATGGGATAACCGTACAGAGAGATCCTTGGAGGTGTTTATTCTATAACTTTGAGCCCTCAGCGAAACTATATAAAAATAGGCTACTCTTATCACCTGGTGTGGCCAAGGGTTTGATTCCCAAGTTCTGGCAGGTTCCTGAAGCACCAAGATGCAACAATTGGATAAATAGAGTTGAAAATATTTATAGGATGGAGGAGCTATGTCGCGTGGAGGAGGATAAAATGGAAAAAATGCAGGAAAACATGATGTAGTTGGCTGAAATTGAAATCCTCTGAAATATATATGGAACTGGTTGGAATTGAGGGGAAAGTTTAGAAGTCAGGAGAGAGCCTTAATTGAGAATCCAAGAGAGAGCAGCATCAGAGATAGATAAATAAACATGAGAGAAGATATAGTTCAGGAAAGAGGATGGGGAAAATTGGGGTGGAGGTGGGGGGAATATTGGGGTAAATGAAATGGTGTATGCGTGAAATATTTTTATAAATGTGGTGTTCTTTTTGTACTAGAAAATCGAATAAAAGTTAAATGAAAAAAAAAAAAAAAGAATTGAAGTGGGGTTCCACCCAAAAGGGGAAGTTTCGCTTTAAAGATTGGTCCTCCGCTCCCCATTAAGGATTGGCACCTTTGGGGGGGGCTACCCGAAATTGACAGATACCCGCTCCCACTTCTGCTGCGATCGGAAGTGGAAGTTGTCCTCCTACCCTTCCTCCCCGTAGTCTTGTGGGACACGTGACAGGTCCCAGAAGACGACAGGGCCATTCAGGAAGCTCAGCACTACCCACGCATGCGCAGTGGGCACCCGGCTGTGAAGCCGCAAGCTGTCACAGCCGGGTGCCCACACTGAAGATGCTGGCGCCTGGAATACAGGACGGCCAGTGAAATGTTGTGGGCACCACGGGATCATGGGACAGGTAAGTGGCTGTTTTTTTTAAAGTCAGCAGCTACAGTTTTTGTAGCTGCTGACTTTTATTTTTTTACAGAGTGAGTGGAACTCCGCTTTAAATTAGTATTTTTGGTTTGTAATGCTCAGGTGCAGTGTAGTTCTGCTTTAATCTGTTTTGGGAAGTGAAAATAAATTCCTAGTGATGCAGCCAATATCTGCCCCTTTATTGCTCCCTGTGACCAAGCGACAGAGCCAACGACAGGCTTCCAATTCATTATTGCCCTCGTCACCACTGTGTGTTGTCACTACTGAAATTGAACTACAAGCTACTTTGTCAGCCCATGGCATGTGTTTTGTTAGTGAACTTTACCTATAAATAATTTAAAGAAAAATGGACGCCGACATTGATGACTCTTGTGAAAGGTCTGACTGTCTGCATGCTTACACTATAGCTATATACAGAGGGTAAAATAAGTGTTGAACCTGTCACCATTTTTCTCAGTAAATATATTTCTAAAGGTGTATTGACATGAAATTTTCACCACATGTCGGTAACAACTGATCCATACATACAAAGAAACCAAATCAAAGAAGTTCAGAAACTAAGGTATGTGTAATAAAATGGAATGACACAGGGAAAAAGTATTGAACACGCTAACTGAAATGTATTTAATACTTTGTACAAAATCCTTTGTTGGTAATGACAGCTTCAAGACGCCTCCTGTATGGAGAAACTAGTCGAATGCATTGCTCAGGTGCGATTTTGGCCCATTCTTCCACACAAACCGTCAAATCTAAGGTTCCGTGGGCATCCGCTATGAACTCTGACCTTTAGTTCTTTATATAGATTTTCTATTGGATTCAAGTCAGGTGATTGGCTGGACCATTCTAGCAGTTTTTATTTTATTGAAACCAATTGAGAGCTTCCTTGGCTTTTTGTTTGGGACCATTGTCTTGCTGAAATGACCACCCTCATTTCATCTTCATCATCCTGGTAGATGGCAGCAGATTTTTATCAAGGATGTCTTGGTACATTTTTTAATTCATCCTTCAGTGACATGAAATTTGCCAGTACTGTATGCTAAAAAACAGCCCCACACCATGATGTTCCCACCTCCAAACTTCACTGTTGGTATGGTGTTTTTGGGGTGATGTGCAGTGCTATTTGACCTCCAAACACGGTGTGTATTATGGCATCCAAAGAGTAAAATTTTGGTCTCATCTGAGCAGACTATATTCTTCCAGTATTTCACAGGCTTGTCTAAATGTTGTGCAGCAAACTTTAAATGAGCTTTTTCTTCAGCAATGGAGTCTTGAGGGGTGAGCGTGCATACAGGCCATGGCGGTTGAGTACATTACTAATTTTCTTTGAAACAATTGTACCTGCTAATTCCAGGTTTTTTTGAAGCTCTCCACAACTGGTGCTTGGCTCTTGGACAACTCCTGTGATAATTCTTTTCACTCCTCTGTCAGAAATATTGTGAGGAGCACCTGGTTGTGGCCAGTTTATGGTGAAATGATGTTCTTTCCACTTCTGGATTATGGCTCCAACAGTGCTCACTGGAACATTCAGAAGTTTAGAAATCCTTCTGTAACAAATGCCATCACTATGTTTTGCAACAATAAGGTTGCAAAGGTCTTGAGCAAGTTTTTTGCTTTTACCCATCATGAGACGTTTCTTGTGTGACACCTTGGTAATGAGACACCTTTTTATAGGCCATCAGTTGAGACTGAAGCAGCTGTTATTAGTTGCACTGCCAAGGGGCAGGATTGCTTTCTAATTACTGATAGATTTCAGCTGGTGTCTTTCCATTTCCATGTCAATAGCACCTTTAGAAATCTATTTACAGAGGAAAATGGTGATGTGTTCAATACTTATTTTACCTGCTGCAATATTTTGATTCTGTGACCTGAGAACTGTATGCAGATTTACCTATTTGTTCCGGTGCAGTGACTTAGAAGGTAGTCAGCAAAGACTGCATTAAAGCCTCGTGGATTGTAAGACAGCTGTTAGCATTTTTATAGAGACTGTTGATGCAGCTTCTGGCTCTTGAGCATCCCAGGGCTCCAAAACTTGGCAGACTCAATATGCATGTGCTGACCGTTTAGGCATTCCCCTTACACCACTTTGCCCTTGGTCACTGAGGCTGTCCACTGAGGAAAAGCACAATTAGAGGACGCAGGAGGAAAAATCTGGCAAGGCAACTTGAGTTTTGCATTTTGCTACAGTCTGCGTTGTGGGGATCCTGGGGTGCTCAAGAAGCTAAACAGAAAAAAGCGCAAGCATGGATTCAATTTGTGCTGCCAGTTTAAATATCTTGGATACTAACATGCTTACTGTAAAGCCAAAATTGTTTTCTAAATTCTGTACAAAGAGTAAAAGGTTGAATGTCTCTTGTGTTTTTATTGCTGCCTTTGTCCCTGTTGGGAAGTTGTAACCTCCCTTCTGTTTTGGTGACGGGTCTGGGAAGGATAGGCTATCTCTCTGAGGTGGGCAGGCCTTGCAATCACACGTATTCTAACCTTTTTCTTTTCTTTCATTGCAGTGTGTTTGAAGGGGAGCTTTCAGAGACGATACCTGTTGTCCATGCATCAATAGCAGGGTGCAGAATTATCGGAAGGATGTGCGTAGGTGCGTATTGCCCCTGTTCTTTTTTGAGTTGTTCAGGGGTGAGGTGGAGAATATGTAATTCAGTTCCTTGGGCATAATTTCATATTTGCTAGAAAGTAGGTTTTACACTAAATTCCTAATGTGCCCAAATTGCACGCATCAACCTGTTTAATGCCTCCTTATTAAAGCGACTTCTAAAGATTATTATTTTTTTTTAAATAACAAAACATGTTTATACTTACCTACTGTGTGCAGTGGTTTTGCACAGAGCAGCCTGGATCCTCCTCTTTTTGGGTCTCTTGCAGGCTCTCCTGGCTCCTCCTGTTTGTCGGGTGCCCCCACAGTAAGCAACTTGCTATGGGGACCCCCACTACTCCATGTGTCCATTCACACATGGAGCCATGGTTTAGCCCCACCCCTTCCCTCTCCTCATTGATGACTGTCTGTGATTGATAGCAGTTGGAGCCAATGGCTCCTGCTTGCTGTCTCAGCTAATGAGGAGGTACAAACCCAGGGCAGGCGAGGCTGTCATTCACATCGCTGGATCGTGATGAGGCTCTGGTAAGTATTGAGAGGGCTGAGGGAGCTGCTGCACACAGTAGGGTTTTTTTTACCTTCCTGCATAGAATACAGGAAGGTAAAAAACCTTCAGCCTTTACAACCAATTTAACATTTATTTGTAGGGTCTCTAATGCTTGATGCATGCCGGGATGGGAAGTACCATCACAGCAAAGATTTGGGTGGAATCAGTGCCCGATTCTGCCCCTCTTTGTCTCAACAATTGTTTGAAAGTTATATCTTTTTATATCATTGTATGTCTAGAGCACCGCTGGATGCTTCAGAGGGAGATGTTCAGGCAACGTTAGAGGCCACATTGGGTGCAGAAAGCCCGTTTCACATGGTGTGAAGCTTGTTAGTTTCTTTCCCGATGTTGTAGAGCACATTTTGGCCTTTCTCCAGTCTGGTGTGGAGATGTCTCTGGCTTCAAGTACCGTTAAGAGAGAGATCTTGGCCAATGTGTTTGATACCCACTACTATTTTTTTCTTTGGTAAAAGCTTTACCAAAGCTTTACCCCCCCCCCCCCCCCCCCCCCCCCCCCCCCCCCCCCCCCCCCCCCCCCCCCCTTGTCTCCGTGGTAGCTAACTTTTTCTTGTCTGTTTTGCAGTCTTCTCCTTTTGAACTTTTCCATGAGATACCCTTGTCGCTCCCTGTGTGCAGGTTTTTCTTTTTAGTAGCCATTACTTTAGCTCTCGGGGTCTTAGAGTTGGCCGCTCTTGCCTGCAAGGAACTCTTCCTGGTTCTTCACCAGGATAATAAGGTGGTGTTGAAGCCTCAGTCCTCCTTCCTACCTAAGGTAGTTTCATCTTTCTAACTTTGTTCTCATCTTAATAAGCAGGCGGTTCACACGTTAGATGTTGATCAAGTTTATCTGAAGCCTACAGCTTCGTATTGTCATTGTAAATCCTTGTTTGCTCTGCCTGAGAGTCAGGCTCCTTCTTGGATCTGTTGTTTGTAGGTGGCTATGTCAGCCCATTTCTCAAACCTATGGTCTTACGAGCAAGGCATTTCTCTTCCCTGTTAAAGCCCTTTTCATCAGGACTGTTAGTGCCTTCTGGGCTAATTAGGATCAAGCTTCTCTGGTTCAAGTTTGTAAGGCTGCTACCTGCTTTTCTCTTCCCACATTTACTAAGTTGTACTAGGTAGATGTTCCTTCCTCTGCAGACCCCAATTTTGGGTGGAAGGTTGTGCAGTTGGCTTTGTAATCTGGCCCCCATGTTGTTTTTGGGCTTTGGGACATCCAAAGTAGTTATACACTCACCAGCCAGTATATTAGGTACACCTTGAAAGTGCCAAGAAAATATCCCTCACACCATTAGACAACCACCACCACCACATCCTGAACCGTTGATACAAGACAGGACGGATCCATGCTTTCATGTTGTTTACTCCAAATTCTGACCCTACCATTTGAATGTTGCAGCAACCAGTCTGCCCATTCTCCTCTGACATCAACAAGGCATTTTAAACCCCACAACTGCCGATCACTGGATATTTTATTTTTTTTTGGACCATTCTCTGTAAACTCTAGAGATGGTTGTGCGTGAAAATCCCAGTAGATCAGCAGTTTTTTTAAATACTCAGACCAGCCCATCTGGCACCGACAACCATACCATGTTTTAAGTCACTTAAATCCCCTTTCTTCCCCATTTTTATGCTCAGTTTGAACTTCAGCAAGTCGTCTTCACCGTGCCTACTTCCCTAAATGCATTGAGTTACTGCCATGTGGTTGGCTGATTAGCAGTTTATGTTACCAATCAATTGAACAAGTGTACCTAATAAAGTGGCCTGTGAGTGTAAATATGAGGTCATCTGTGCCCCGTGATGTATGATTAAGAAATTAGGATTTATTAGTTTATCTGTAAAATCCTTTTCTTGGAGTATGTCTCCGGACACAGATTCTTCCACTCTTGTATTTTCTTGTTTGCTACAAAACTGAAGCTTAGCTGAGTTAAGAAGGGTTCTGTCTGGAGGGGGAATTCCTGCTTTTTTTGGACAGTGTCCATTAACCTGAAAGTGGCAGCAAATCTTGTGATTTGATCTGCAGATTCGCCCAATAATGTCTACATATTCAGAAATATATACTGTACAAAATATGCATTTTAATGTGTGTGCAAAATCTAAAAATTGCTCTGGCAGCAAAAGGGCTGAAGTCCTACCTACTCTTGGGGGGGATTTACTATAACTGGAGTACTAGGAATCTGGTGCAGCTGTGCATGGTAGCCAGTCAGCTTCTAACTTCTGCTTGTTCTATTAACCTTTGACAATATAACCTGGAAAATGATTGGTTTCTATGCAGAGCTTCACCAGATTGGGATTGATTTTACTAAGACTGGAGCGTGCACAAAGTCTTGTCAGACTTGCCAGCACACTTACATTGGTAATTTTAATTTTCGTTTCCTTCTAGCGTCGTGTACAGCAGTTTCACTTACCTGTGACCTCATATTTTCTCTCTAGCTTTCCTGGAGGAGCCTCTCTTTCTTAATAATGAAATCTCTTGAAACTACATGTCCCATAATCCTTTGGGACAAATATAGTTTCAGGGTGGTTCTGGCCATGTTATATATTACAGGTACTTGTACCATCATTATACGCAGCATTTTACATACATTGTACATTCACTTCAGTCCCTGTTGTCAAGAATTATATTGAATAGGACCCTAACCAAGAAACAGTAGTGGGGCTTTGGAGGTACCAAACCATATCAATAAACATAAATCAAACAAAAATGTAAGGACAGTTTATAAAATTGAACACCTTTTATAGGTTAAAAAACCACCAACCGGTGGAGCATGATCATCAGACATATACATAGAAAAACATAAAATACAATAAATGAGACCTGGCCACAATAAATGTTACTCATGTCCTACACCCAAAAGGGCGACACGGGTATCAGCCACATACAACCAACAGCTATAGCCTCAGGACATGAAGGCTAAGCTGTAGACAAGGATAGACATTATGGTACATGGCTAACAATGGAAACATGTAATTATATATGGGTTGATATAGAACACCTAAACATATAGTATCATAGGTTTTGATGAACATATAGACATGTAGTTTCCACTTGGAACCATGAGCAGGTACTTTGTTTTAAGTTTCCAACGTGTTTCATGGGACAACGCTTCTTCAGGGAAAAACAAAACACAAATTCCTATAGCAAGCAAAAACATATCAATATGTAGTCATGCAGGATTATACAGAAAATAGCAAAAATAAATAAAAGGTTAAACAGCAATTACCAGTTGATGATACCAGCACATTCCGAGATGGCTCATGCAGAATTTGCTGTCAAGAAGCTTACAATTGAAGGCCCGTCACTCACATTACTATACATATACACACACATACTATGGCCAATTTAGACAGAAGCCAATTAACCTACCAGTATATCTTTGGTGTGTGGGAGGAGACCAGAGTATCCAAAGGAAACCCGCACAGGGAGATCATACCAACTCCAGGTAGGGAGTGTCTTGGTTGGGATTAGAACCAACTATCTTAGTGCTGCTAGGTGGAAGTGCTAACCACTTAGCCACCGTGCTGGCTAACAGAACAGTACCTGCAGGACTAGGGGAGAACAGGCCTTAGGAGGTAGATGTAACTCGGTGGGATTGTAAGCCAATTATGTTCATTCAGCACATACCCAACCCCCCCCCCCCCCCCCCCCCATTCGGTCAGCATTGCCAACATGTTGACTTTCCCTCTATAGTCTCAAGGATCACGGAGGGGAGTGAACACAATGCTTTTGGTAGCATAGCCTAAAAATAAGGAACTAAACGGAGGGAGAATCCATTATTTACTTTTTAATTGTGGCTGGCAACATAGGGGGGTGGGTGGGAAACAATCTACAGGGCAGACTTCAGGAGGTAATTACCAAAGCATTTATAACTGCTATCTTCAAAGTTGGAGTTCATATTTAAAGGTTATCTAAACCCAAGAACAAAAATGTTACACCGTATATTTTGCAGTCCATAGATGTAGTGGCTGCATTGGTTTTTTCTTTTGTTAGTTACATAGTCTGGCTGAAAAAAGACAAAAGTCCATCCAGTTCAATCATTAAATACAAAAAAAAGTTATAATCCTACACTCACAGTTGATCCAGAGGAAGGCAAAAAACCCAGCAGAGCATGATCCAATTTGCTCCTGCAGGGAAAAAAAAATTCCTTCCTGATCCCCCGAGAAGCAATCGGATATTCCCTGGATCAACTTTACCTATAAATGTTAGTATTCAGTTATATTCTGTGTATCCAAGAAAGAATCCAGGCCTTTTTTAAAGCAATCCACTGAGCTGGCCAGAACCAACTGTTGAGGGAGTCTATTCCACATTTTCACAGTTGTCACTGTGAAGAAACCTTTCCGTGTTTGGAGATTAAATGTCTTTTCCTCCAGACGTAAAGAGTGCCCCCTTGTCCTCTGTGATGACCTCAGGGTGAATAACTCTACACCGAGTTCACTATATGAACCACTGATGTATTTATACATGTTGATCATATCCCCCCTTAATCTCCTCTTCTCAAGAGAATAAATTCAGTTCCTCTAATCTTTCCTCATAGCTGATCTCCTCCATGCCTCTTATCAGTTTGGTTGCCCTTCTCTGTACTTTCTCCAATTCTCCAATATTTTTTTTGTGAATTGGTGCCCAAAATCTTAAGAACATTTTCAGCAAGTGCAGAGAATACCTGTTGATCTTACCAGGAATGCAGTGTCTTTGTTACTTCCTGTGAGCTGTGCTGAAAGCACAATGTTATCCTTTGTGAACAATTACACCCCACCACTTATGTAATGAAAATTTTCACCTATAGGTGTTTGTACTCTGAAATAGGCTGTACATTTAAATTTTGTTTGATGTTTTTTGTCTTACCTTGCCATTTTGCTTTTCTTGTGTTTTAGGAAATCGTAATGGCCTTCTAGTTCCAAATAACACAACAGACCAGGAGCTCCAAAATATAAGAAACAGTTTGCCAGAATCTGTCCGGATCCAGCGGGTGGAGGAGAGGCTGTCTGCCTTGGGGAATGTGATAGCTTGTAATGACTATGTAGCTCTGGTTCACCCTGACCTTGACAGGGTATGTTTTCTGTTTTCACACTGTCATGGGGATGAACGAAGCAACCTGTGCCATTATAATGGTGCAGGAAACTGTCAGGCGTGGCATGTGCCACTTGAGCAGATACTTATCTCAGGTCCACCTGCACCACTCGTGCCAGTTTCTTATTTCAGAGTGAAAAAGAAATTAGCACAGGTCTGCTCCTAAATAAGAGGATATAGACCAGTTGTGAGATGACTGACAGCTCACATCCCTCTCTCTCTGCCTGTGCAGGGTTTACACTACAGGAGCAGAGCTGCACTCCTTACATTCTGAGCTGATTTGGAGGTGGAATCCGCAGAGAGATCGGAGCATGCAGCTCTATCCCTCTTCTCTGTACTGTTTTCTGTCACAGAACAAAGTACTGATCACCTATAATTAACAAAGGGGGCTTGCTAGCTCATGATTTAAAGTGGTACTAAAGCTAAAACCGTATTTTATTTACCTTAAAGCATTGCTTGCATTAAAGGATAAGTTCACGTTTTGCACAAAAATAATACATTTTTGCAGATAAAAAAATGTGCATTTACTATTTTTGGCTCCAGGAGCCTGTAAAGCATTGCAGCAGTGGGTCAGTAGATCGCTGGTGCCATACAGGTCTCCTGCAGACAGGTCAGTATATCTGCTTGCCCGTACGCGATGTATGAGCAACCTGATATACGACAAAAAGATTCAATAAACTACCATGGCATTCCACAGCACCGTGGTAGTTCATTCAAAACTACAAACCGGCAGCCGCTTAGGCTGTCGGGACTTGTAGTTCATTCACAGAACACATGCTGTTTTTAAATACAGGTGATACAGGGAACTTCTGCCTGTACTTCTGTCACAGGGAGGAGGGTGCAGCAGGTGTTATATGTTATACTCTAAAAACAGGTGGAACATGCAACCTGTTCCCAAAGGTGAACTTATCCTTTAAGGCAAAAAACATTTTAGATTTCTCTGCCCCCCCCCCCCCCTTTTTCTGTGTGAAGGGGAAGAGATGGGAGAATAGATCCAGTGCTGTGCACAGCTGCATCTTTTCTCCCCTCTCTTCCTTTTTACACAGGACTCATGCAGCAACAGGAGCAATTGGCTCCTGCTGCTGTTAATCAAATGCAATGAGGAGAAAGGGCGTGGCTAAGTCCTGCTGTGTGAGTCTATGGAGTGTGGCTCCATAGACGCACAGCTCAGGAGTGAGCAGACACCGTGCCTCCATAGAAAATGGCTTGCTATGGGGACTTAAGAAGAGGAGGAGCCAGGATTGCCGGCAAGGGACATGAGAAGAGGAGGATTGGAGCCACTCTGTGCACTACCATTACACAGAGCAGGTGAGTACAACATGTTTTTTTTTTCTAATTAAAATAATAAATTTTCTTTAACACTTTAATATTTTTTTTAGATGGGGATGTTTGTGGTATAAATGGGTTGGGCTGTAAAGAGGATACTCTAACATTGTTCATGCTGGACAAAGTGATGGTTTTCTTACCTCTGTTACCCTAGGGTAAAACATACCTTAACCGCTTTAGGAGCAAACCTTTTCTGACACTTTGTTTTACATGCAAAAATCAGTATTTTTTTTCTAGAAAATTTCTGAGAACCCCCAAACATTATATATTTTTTTAAAATGGTGGGGTGTTGTTATTTTTTATGTCACGGTTTTTGCGCAGCAGTTTTTTTAAAATGTAATGTTTTGGAAAAAAAATACACACTTTTTTTTATTTTAATGCACAAAAACACAATATAATCCCCAATTGTTTGATAAAATGTAAACGATATTATGCCAAGTAAAAAGATTCCAAACATGTCAAACTTTAAAATTGTGCATTTATGGAGAGATCTGGGGCCTGTCAGATCTTAGATGTCTCTTCTGCCTTTAAAAACATCTGATCACACTAATGGCACTGTTTACATCTGGGGAAACAGCAAGGGATGAATGCTCATCGTTTCTGATTTCCTATACCATATGGTCAGCTGGCAGAAGCGCCGGCTTGTCACTCGGGTCTCCTGGTGGTATGGGAGAGCTCGAGAGAGTTGTGGGCATCATCTCGGTATAACCACTTGAAGTAGAGCAGCGTATGGGTACGTCTCTGGTCATCAAGTGGTTAATGCGCAGGCCCAATTTTGCACCTTTGACGTGCGTTAGTAAAATTGTACGTATCATCACAACTACTTTGTGCATCGAGGTGGATTATATCTTGTTTTTTCAGGACAAAGTGTGATTTCATTTGGTGGTAAATGGTAATGGATGATATTTTTTTCTTGATATTTTTTTTTTTATTAAAGAAAAACTGGCCAAAAATATTAAAAACATTTTTTTAAACTTAGCTGTATATTTCTTTCTACTACCATAACCTACCAACAAAGAACAACCCAAAATAAATTCTCCTGACAATTGCAGTGATGCCACATGTGTATGTTTGTACCTGGAGTAGGGCCCAGGAACAATAGTGCACAATTTTCTTTTTTTTTTTTTCATATATATACACACACACACACAGTCAGGTCCATAAATATTGGGACATTGACACAATTCTAACATTTTTGGCTCTATACACCACCACAATGGATTTGAAATGAAACAGACAACATGTGCTTTAACTGCAGACTGTCAGCTTTAATTTGAGGGTATTTACATCCAAATCAGGTGAACGGTGTAGGAATTACAACAGTTTGCATATGTGCCTCCCACTTGTTAAGGGACCAAAAGTAATGGGACAATTGGCTTCTCAGCTGTTCCATGGCCAGGTGTGTTTTATTCCCTCATTATCCCAATTACAATGAGCAGATAAAAGGTCCAGAGTTCATTTCAAGTGTGCTATTTGCATTTGGAATCTGTTGCTGTCAACTCTCAAGATGAGATCCAAAGAGCTGTCACTATCAGTGAAGCAAGCCATCATTAGGCTGAAAAAACAAAACCAACCCATCAGAGAGATAGCAAAAACATTAGGCATGGCCAAAACAACTGTTTGGAACAATCTTAAAAAGAAGGAACGCACCGGTGAGCTCAGCAACACCAAATGACCCGGAAGACCACGGAAAACAAATGTGGTGTATGACCGAAGAATTCTTTCCCTGGTGAAGAAAACACCCTTCACAACAGTTGGCCAGATCAAGAACACTCTCCAGGAGGTAGGTGTATGTGTCAAAGTCAACAATCAAGAGAAGACTTCACCAGAGTGAATACAGAGGGTTCACCACAAGATGTAAACCATTGGTGAGCCTCAAAAACCGGAAGGCCAGATTAGAGTTTGCCAAACGACATCTAAAAAAGCATTCACAGTTCTGGAACAACATCCTATGGACAGATGAGACCAAGATCAACTTGTACCAGAGTGATGGGAAGAGAAGAGTATGGCGAAGGAAAGGAACTGCTCATCCTAAGCATACCACCTCATCAGTGAAGCATGGTGGTGGTAGTGTCATGGCGTGGGCATGTATGGCTGCCAATGGAACTGGTTCTCTTGTATTTATTGATGATGTGACTGCTGACAAAAGCAGCCGGATGAGTTCTGAAATGTTTTGGCCAATATTATCTGCTTATATTCAGCCAAATGCTTCAGAACTCATTGGATGCCGCTTCACAGTGCAGATGGACAATGACCCAAAGCATACTGCAAAAGCAACCAAAGAGTTTAAAGGAAAGAAGTGGAATGTTATGCAATGGCCAAGTCAATCACCTGACCTGAATCCGATTGAGCATGCATTTCACTTGCTGAAGACAGAACTGAAGGGAAAATGCCCTAAGAACATGCAGGAACTGAAGACAGTTGCAGTAGAGGCCTGGCAGAGCATCACCAGGGATGAAACCCAGCATCTGGTGATGTCTATGCATTCCAGACTTCAGGCTGTAATTGACTGCAAAGGATTTGCAACCAAGTATTAAAAAGTGAAAGTTTGATTTATGATTATTATTCTGTCCCATTACTTTTGGTCCCTTAACAAGTGGGAGGCAAATATGCAAACTGTTGTAATTCCTACACCGTTCACCTGATTTGGATGTAAATACCCTCAAATTAAAGCTGACAGTCTGCAGTTAAAGCACATCTTGTTTGTTTCATTTCAAATTTATTGTGGTGGTGTATAGAGCCAAAAATGTTAGAATTGTGTGGATGTCCCAATATTTATGGACCTGACTATATATATATATCCCCTACCTAAAATATACTGATCCTGTCTGGTTTTTCAGTTTGACCCGATTGGACCTTCCATGGCCCTCTGTGGAGTGGAGGGTCTGCTGACACCCACCGGCATCTGATCCTGTACGCTAAAAACAGACTGATGGTGATCATCCACTTATTGGATTGGATGACAGTCGAATGGAAACAGTCAGGCGGTCTGTTTCCATTCGGCAGCTCCATAGTAAACCGCGGTCACAGACCTGTCATCTTGGATCAGCGGAGAGACCCCCCTGTGAACAAGCGGATCTGCTGATGGGTCTGCCCCATCTGAAAGGGGCCTAACACTAACCCGGACACTGACCTAGATCAAGCTTTGATCTAGCTTTTTTTTTTTTTCTAACACTGTTTTGTTAACAAAATGGGCTGCACTGTGATTGATCACTGTGATAGCCAATCAGAGGCTATCACAGCGGTCTGGTGAGCAGGAACACATTTGTGGTGTCCAGGATTAAAGCCCACATCTTGGACGCTGCGTATATGTGTTATGGGGTTAATAGAATGGTGGCAAAAACAATTCTATTCCATATTCATGGCTGACCTTCAGCCTTTTCCTTTGGACAAATAGATGTGACCTTTACCCATATTACCTTTCATTAATGTTACTAAAGTGCCAAAGCTTTATGCACATTGAGAGGAATTTATCAAACTCAAACACTCAGAAGCTGATTGGCTGCCAGGCAGAGCTGCTTTATATTCTGACTTCAATTTCTTAATTTAAGCTTTGAAAATGAAAATCTGGAGCAGTTGTGCATGGCAGCCATTAAGCTCCTGTCTGCTCCAGTTTTGATACATTTCCCTCACTGTACTTGCTAATATTTATTCCTCTGACATGTCTGGATTTATGCTACTAGCTCTCTATTTATCTTTGAATCTGTTTAGTGTGGGCAGGAGATGATATGCTGTTTTATGTTCCAGGAGACCGAAGAGATTTTGGCAGATGTGCTGAAAGTAGAGGTGTTTAGACAGACCGTTGCCGATCAAGTGCTGGTTGGAAGTTACTGTGCTTTCAGCAATCAAGGAGGCTTGGTGCACCCTAAAACATCAATAGAAGACCAGGATGAGTTGTCATCTCTTCTCCAGGTCCCTCTTGTGGTGAGTTACAGAATTAAAAATCTATATACCTGAGAGGATTTTCCCAAGCGGTCTTCTAGGATCACAGTCTGGCCCAGTGGTGTCCCTAAGGGGGGTGTGGGCTGCACTGGGTGACACCATCACAGGGCGTGCAGGAGCAGGATACCAGCAGAGCTTCTGGGCTCTGTGAATGTCCTGGCCAGATATTGGGGTGATCCCGGATTCCCGGCACAGTGACAGTTGCCCGGGTGTACCGGTTAAATGACTATTCCGGACCTGTGAAGATATGTATCTTCTTCGGCCTGAAACCGGCACATGCGCAGTTGCTTCAGGGAATACATATCTTCACGGTTCGGGACACTCATTTTACCGCTACATCGGCACCACTCCTTCCTCTCTGGAGGGGTGACACCACGTGTTACTGCACCGGGTGACACCAACCCTAGCGACGCCTCTGCTCTGGCCCCTTTTACATGAGGTGGAATCCACCTGTGTTCCACTTGCTGAGCAGGGTATCTGTCTGCAGATCCCCGCTGAGCAGGCAGGCAGGTTACAGGTCTATGTCTATTCCACTTATGCAGTGCAGACACAGCCCGGTCTACCCTATGGAAGGTTGGATGTAAACAGACCGCCTGTCCATTTACACCCATCTGCCATCCGATGCGCTAGATGGAAGGGGAACAGATCCCCATCTGGCTGGTTTTTGGTGGATCAGATTGGATGTAGGCGGGTTTAAACGGACACATGTCTGGAGCACCATGGAAAAAGGGAAAGAAGAGAAAAAGAGGAAGGGGGGGGGGGGGCCAGAGAAGAAAAAAGGCAACAATAATGTAAAATATATACGTAGGAAAACCTACAACCTAGGTCCTCTAATTGTACAGCCACAATAGGAAGTAAATGGTGATATCTTGCGCCTCAACCCAACACTTCCACGTTTTATCAAATTTATGAGGACAGTTCCTACTTGCATAGGCAAATGACTTCCATTTCAGTAGAATTGCTTGTCTAGCATAGAAGGCGGAGTAGAACACAAATAAACTTTAATGTCTAGTTGGCACCAAACCCTCCACAAGGCCTAGTGGCCACAGAGTGGGGTGCAGTGGGAAGGAAAGGTTACCCACTGCGTTAAGTGTCCACCACTCCCTGCCAGTAACATTGCAGCTTAGGGCACAGTCAAAAAACATGAAGGTATGCCCACAGCAAGTATCAGGAGTACCAGGATAGATAACTGCCAAATGCTGAGAGGTGTAGTAGACTCTGAATACATTTCAGTTGGAACCAATCCCTGGAGGGAATCATATTCTTAAAAAATTGGAGAAGGCCGTATTCCCAAACTTCCGTCAGGGAGGGAATGTTATCATGCCACTTATGATATAGCAGTTATTTTAGGTAAGGTCAGAGGGATTAATTGGGAGTATATTGCTGATAGAAGTTTAGGTAAGTCATTACCAAACAACAGCGCCTCTAGTTGGTCAGATAGGAGAGTTACAGGATGACGCAATTGTAAAATCTAAAGAACTTCATGTTGGGTAGGTGGTAAGTATCTTGAAGCGCATTAAAAGATAGTAGAGTACCTTCCAGCTTTATATGTTTTACTAGCACAATATCATGTCTGGCTCATAAAGAGGTATCTGGGATGGTGTGAAAATGAGCCAGGTTAGGATTACCCCATAGAGGAGTGTAAGAAGAATAAGTGTCAGGCGGTACATATTGGCCCCTGGCCTGTCTCCAAACCAAAAGTGTTGTCCTCATCTGGACAGTAACCACAGAAGCGCAGCTTCATTTACATTTGATAGAGGGCTATGAGCAGTGAGCAGGCAAGTAAGTGTGACTGAATACAGATGAGACCTAGCACGGTCTCTTCTGCAGTATAGGGCTGCCTGCTCAGCTTTTTTATTTTTTATTCAAGTTCCACTTTAAGGCTGGGTTCACACTTGTGCGGTGCAACATACCGCATGTGATTCGCACAGGAACCGCACCGCATTCCTGTGCAAATCAAATGCGAATTCTGTGCGGTCCGGTTTGACACATACATGTTGTATGGCTCAAATCGCATCACATGCGCACCAAAACACTGCAGGACCCTTTTTTTTTATTTTGGTCCGCACTAGAATCGGATCGCATGGGTGTGTATGCCTATGCGATCCGATTCTGCACATTGCACCATGTTTTGTGAACTGATTTTGGGGTGTCGTTAACTTAAAATACACACCCGCAATGGTTTGTGTGAAAGGAGTGCGATTTATGATGCGGTGCAGAAATCTTTTTTTTTTTTTTTTTTTTTAAATCTGCCTAGGGGTTTAGCTTTTATTATTCCAGGTTGATTTTTCCTTCAACTGCTACTTTTTGAGAACTGTTTCCAACTGTGTAACTTCAACTGGTTTGACACTCGTAAGAGCTGATTCACACGCCCGGTGCGGATTCAAGCTCAGGTTCTCGATGCAGTAGCTGTTCAGCGGTTCAAGCCTGGTTTACATCAGGTTCAGGACAGGATCGGCTCAGGATTTGAATCTATTCACACATGTTTTTTATAAACGGTTCCCATAGAAGTCAATAGCCTGTAATCCGCACCTGAGCTCAGAAATCGTTCATGATTCTTTTTGAGCCTGGGTTAACACTGATGCAGTGCAAAATTTGCAGCAGTTTCTGTGCGATTTCCGCACCGCATCACAATCGCACCCTGTTCACATGAACCATTGCGGGTGTGTATTTTAAGTTGACGTGCCGAAATCCGTTCATAAAACGTGGTGCGATGTGCAAAATCGGAACGCATGGGTCTGAACACCCATGCAATCCAATTCTACTGCGGACCAAAAAAAGGGTCCTGCACATTTTTGGTGCGAATGTGGTGCGATTGGAGCCTTACAAAATGTATGCGGTGCGGTTCCTGTGCGAATCACATGCGGTATGCTGCACCGCACAAGTGTGAACCCAGGCTCAAACCGAACTGAATCCGCACTGCCAGTGCACCGGACATATGTGAACAGGCACCATAGGAAGCAATGCTATTTCACGTGTCATGCAGATTGGATATGTGGTTCAAGCTGCATCCAGCCCTCATGTATGTGAATGGGCACTTACTGTCTTTTGTTGAGTAAGTTGAGTTAATCTCAAATTTTCCACTTGTAAATGCTAAACTAATCTTGTCTCCTGGCAGGCTGGAACAGTGAATCGAGGTAGTGAAGTGATTGCAGCAGGAATGGTTGTCAATGACTGGTGTGCTTTCTGTGGCCTGGACACAACCAGTACAGAGCTGTCAGTCATAGAAAGTGTATTCAAATTAAGCGATGCCCAGCCAAGCACTATTGCCACCAGTATGAGAGACTCCCTCATTGACAGGTATGTTCATTGTATGTTATGCAGTCTATATATATAGTTCCATGTCTCTTATGTTACTGCAAGAGTTAAACTTGTAATGGTGAAAATACCTCATCCTACCAGCTTTTGATATTGGGAAAGGGAAGTTTTTGCCCTTTTTCCAGGTAACCAAGCAGCACTTCCTTCTGACAGAAGGAACAACTGGTCAGGTAACAAAAGAAAGTGGTTTCAACCTTTATGTTCAAGGGGGAAAAACTGTTTTTTCTTGCACAACACCAGCTGGGACTTTTTAAAGTTTTTTTTTTTAAACAGCGATGAAGAGATTTTTTTGCTGTCTAAGTTGAGGGACAGAGAGAACCCCTTTATTTTACAGTGCCTGTCCCTGCTGAAGAGATCTCACATCCTTTGTGGTCACCAGGACAGGAATTTTGGTGAAATTTGCCTGGTTAAAACTCGGATGGCAACAAAAACCTGATAGAAGGTATAATTCTTCCCACTCTAACCAAAAAAGAAACTTTGACTGGGGTTGGTCTTTAAAGGGTAGAGAACCCAATCACAGCATGTACTGATCTAGGGATGGGGAACATAAAGGCAGTCCATCCTTAACATGGATTCAGTGTAGTTGCTTCTCATATTGAACTAGATGCATTGACTAGGGTGTATAATTAAAGTGTTACTAAACCCAGGACCCTGCATCCACTATATCTGGTCTCCCACAGAACATGGAAATGCAATTATTTCAGTAAATATAAACTGCTAATTACCTTTCCTTATCAGCAGTCTTGTGACTTCAGCAGAGCACTGGTTAAAGCTTGTAGGAGGAGTTTTCTTTCTGGTCTGGGAGGATGCAAAACACCTGACCTCTGTCTGGACAGTGCTGATTGGCCCTGTGCTGATCACTTGCACTCTCCCAAGAACAAAAAATATCTGGGTATTTTTAAAGATAGTTCCTGTCCAGTAGATTACACTGGAAGTGAAAATGGCTATCTTTCCCATGCAAGAAAACTGCCCTTTGAGAGCTGTTAAGTAGACTAGTGTCCTTGGAAGATTTCTGTTCTATTCCTGTTCAGGTGGCAATTCAGAAATTTGCATTTACCCTCACATTCATTCCCTGTGACAATGATGGTTAGGACAATTAAAGTGCTAGTAAAGTCTTTGTTAAAAATCTGCTGACAGGGAAGGGTTTTTATAACAGAAGAGACCTTAGTGGTCCCTCCTCCCTGGCTGTCAGTGAGTAGTGTGATCTGAGCCGCTCATGCGCAACTCAAATCACATTTGTGGCCTGCTCCGTGTGCCGCTGCGATGTGACTTGTATAACAATGTAAATTTGCTGTCCCCTCAAAATAACTCAACACACAGCCATTAATGTCGAAACCGCTGGCAACAAAATTGAGTACACCCCTCAGTGAAAATGTCCAAATTGGGCCCAAAGTGTCGATATTTTGTGTGGCCACAATTATTTTCCAGCACTGCCTTTAACCCTCTTGGGCATGGAGTTCACCAGAGCTTCACAGGTTGCCACTGGAATACTCTTCCACTCCTCCATGACTACATCACGGAGCTGGTGGATGTTAGAGACCTTGCGCTCCTCCACCTTCTGTTTGAGGATGCCCCACAGATGCTCAATAGGGTTTAGGTCTGGAGACATGCTTGGCCAGTCCATCACCTTTACCCTCAGCTTCTTCAGCAAGGCAGTGGTCATCTTGGAGGTGTGTTTGGGGTCGTTATGTTGGAATACTGCCCTGTGGCCCAGTCTCCGAAGGGAGGGGATCATGCTCTGCTTCAGTATGTCACAGTACATGTTGACATTCATGGTTCCCTCAATGAACTGTAGCTCCCCAGTGCCAGCAGCACTCATGCAGCCCCAGACCATGACACTCCCACCACCATGCTTAACTGTAGGCAAGACACACTTGTCTTTGTACTCCTCACCTGGTTGCTGCCACACACGCTTGATACCATCTGAACCAAATAAGTTTATCTTGGTCTCATCAGACCACAGGACATGGTTCCAGTAATCCATGTCCTTAGTCTGCTTGTCTTCAACAAACTGTTTGCAGGCTTTTCTTGTGCATCATCTTTAGAAGAGGCTTCCTTCTGTGACGACAGCAATGCAGACCAATTTGATGCAGTGTGCGGTGTATGGTCTGAGCACTGACAGGCTGACCCCCCCCCCTTCAATCTCTGCAGCAATGCTGGCAGCACTCATATGTCTATTTCCCAAAGACAACCTTTGGATATGGCCCTGAGCACGTGTACTCAACTTCTTTGGTCGACCATGGTGAGGCCTGTTCTGAGTGGAACATGTCCTGGTTAACCGCTGGATGGTCTTGGCCACTGTGCTTCAGCTAAGTTTCAGGGTCTTGGCAATCTTCTTATAGTCTAGGCCATCTTTATGTAGAGCAAACATTATTTTTTTCAGAACTTGAGAAAGTTCTTTGCCATGAGGTGCCATGTTGAACTTCCAGTGACCAGTATAAGAGAGTGAGAGCGATAACACCAACTTTAACACACCTGCTCCCCATTCACACCTGAGACCTTGTAACACTAACGGGTCACATGACACCGGGGAGGGAAAATGGCTAATTGGGCCCAATGTGGACATTTTCACTTAGGGGTGTACTCACTTTTGCTGCCAGCAGTTTAGACATTAATGGCTGTGTGTTAAGTTATTTTGAGGGGGCATAAAATTTACATGTTATACAAGCTGTACACTCACTACTTTACATTGTAGCCAAGTGTCATTTCTTCAGTTTTGTTACATGAAAAGATAGAATAGAATAAAATATTGACAAAAATGTACTCGCTTCTGTGAGATACTGTAGGTTTGTCCCAAGCATGTTTGAAGCTATTTACTGTTGATTAGCTCACTACCTCTGCTGGAAGTTTATTCCAAGCATCAACTACTCTTTCAGTAAAATAGTACTTTCTAAGATTAGTTTTGAACTTTCGTCCAGTTAGTTTAAGGTCATGTCCCAGTGTTCTTGATTTTGGTTTCATGTTGAAAGTAATACCCTCCTGAACCTTATTCACCACTTTTTAAAGGTTTCAATCATGTCTCCCCTTTCCCTTCTTTCTTCCGGACTGTACATATTATGTTCCTGAAGTTGCTCCTGAGCAGGTATAACACACCAAGATGGAGGAATAACTGCAGTGGCTGGGGATCACAGAAACAGAATTTCAATGCACAGGCTTAGGCAGGCCATACATGATGCAATTTTCTCACAGGAAAGAAAATCAATTTATTCCCCTGTAAACACAGTCAGTGTTGATGGGGGAATTCCTCCTGTGGAGCTATTGTGTTCTCCCAGCGGGGGGAGCTGTCTCCACTGGCAGAATACAGTAATCACTGCTAGCTGCTGTAATTGGGTGTAACCAGCATGTCAGATTTTACACAAGTTGTACAACTGACTTGGGTACAATCAGTCTGCCCATAGATGGTTCAAAAACTGGGCAATCCCTGCTGAACTGGCTGAGATTTGATCCATCTATGGGCGGCTTTACAGAAAGGTAAGTATAGGACTGATAAATGAGCGCACACACTGAGAACATTTACAACAGACTAAGTCTTATATAAATGCAAGGAAGATTTGCAGACTATATTTTAATTTGTCTTCTGAGCCCCTTTTTTTTTTCTTTTTGTTTTCCAGTTTAACATAAATGGTTCCATTCACAGAAATGACGTTGACTGGTGAAGTTTATCTGCTCCCTGTACTCAACCATATTCTTAAACTGAACATAGAACTGCTACCAAATGTCATCACAGCTGCCTCTGTATCTCAATATTGTATCTGAGCTGAAATATACTAATACTTATACCATGTTTAGCTGCACCGGAGAAGGAAGCATATATGTAGGTGCACTGATCGTTTTCCTAACTATAATGAATACATTTTATAATCAGTGTGGTACAGATTGATGTAGGTTTCACATTGCTTCCAAGCATGACTTGTCTACTGAGAAGTCAAGATTTGAATTTTAACCTTATGTTATTAAAAGTGTTACTACAAGCAAATATGTAAAATAAATGAAATTCAATTATGTATTTAAACTGTATTATTATATACCGTGGGTATATGTAATTGAGTTAGTTTTAATATGCACCTGCCCAGCAGGAATTTGGGCTGAGCTTACAAAGGCTCTGTTCACATCACATAAAATGAAGCATCTGCCCATTAATTAGGTGAACCAGCCTTTCTTCCTAAGGAAACATGTACTAAGGATAGAGAGTGTCATTGTTCACCTCCCCTGCTGGAAAGACAAGTTCTCTGGCTGTCATGCTTATCCAATAGCTTCTGTACTTTAGTCACAAACCTATAACTAGTGCAGCTCCTGTGATTTCTCTGAATGCTTGTTCTGGGTTTCAGAAAGTAAGCCCAGCACCCTAGCATTGTGTGGCTCAATAAAAATCTGATGAACTCTGCATGATTCTTGGTTTGTTTTTGTTTTTTCACTGTATACGTACCCAGTTGGACTTAAAATGGGAAAATCATATAGTTTTACATAGTTCTGCAATAGAGGATTATAGAGAATAGTCACATACCAAAGTAAATCTCTTTATTGTTTCACTGAACAGGCATATAGTGTATTTTCACCATTTTTTTTATTTTTTTAACAAAAAATTGGTCCATGGATCAGCAAGATATCTTTGTAAAACAAATGAAAGCATGTGGTGGTGCAATGGTTTGGAAGACATTTTATGCAAGATCACTGCCTTTCTCCACTAAATGAATGAAGAGTCGTCTATCATTTTATCAGGGTCTAGACGCCTTCAAAGTGACACAATGGGGAATGAGGAAAAAAATGTGCACCAAGAGGATGGTTGCTGTAAGTGGTAAGCATTACACTTCCATCTATGTGGTCATAAACAATTAATATGGTACAATCTATAAGGCTGACATCTGGTTAGGGTAGAGCTTAACTACTTGCTGACCACAGATAGCCGAATGGTGGCTTCACTGCGGCTGGCCAGTTCTGGGAGGGCGTTATATGTAGTCCTCCCAGAACGCGATATCTGTGATTGCTGTGTCCTACGGACACAGCTGATCACGTGATGCG